ACACTTCCAGGTAAGGTTTGAACCTCAAAGTCACTTTTTTTCCATCTAGAAACTGGGATCGTCCCAGGACTAGGTTCTTTAGGTCTTGTGGTAAAGCAGTATAATCAGCGTGAGGAGCAGCAAAATTCAGCTGATTGGCTGTCAATTCATCGGCATCTCCGTCGTCTGGTACACCGAGACAGTTGTACCACCCATTGGGTGTCAGGATCGTTTCACCGTCGTCTCGGTCGTGGTTCAACAGTGCCTCGATGTAGGTTTTGTAGTGGTAAGTATCGGTCTGGGGGCTGATGAGAGTGCCATTCAATCTCACATTGATCTGTTTGAAGAGGGTGTTGGCCAGATTGTTGACGAGTCCCATGACATCAGCTGTTAGCAGATTCGTATTGTTACTTTTCTTGACTGTCAATTCCACTTCAAAGAAACTCTCGTTCAAGTCGATAAAGTCTTCTTGAGGGTCCACTTGGAATGTCACCGGGTTGATACCCGTATTGAATGGGTTGATTCTAACCACACGTCGAGACGACATGCTGAGATCCGTGGGAGGGACCTTGAACATGTCCAGGCGGGGCTTACGAACCCCCGCCGACCTGGCATGAGCCACCATGTCCGTCATCGTCTACGTCGGTGTCTTCGTTTCCTTCTCAGTGCGGACTGTACCCAACGATAGTTTGGAAGTTTTGAGCGGGTTGGAAATATCGAACCGCCTTTATACGTGCGTCGTCCAGGGATACGTCTCACGCGCCTAGAGTAGATGGGAATCATACTCCAAATAGGTCTTTTCTCACTTTTTTGGACAACGCTCGTTTGATCTCTTGCGTCGCTTTACGTTTCACGGCCCGTGTCGCTCCTCTCTTGATCCCTGCGAGTCCACCTTCCAATTGGGCTTTTTTCCTTTGCCACCCGCATTTCAACCTTTCAGACCCTCCATGGCCGTCTCGGTCAAAACGTCTCTGAGAATGGTAGGACCTCGTTTCTTGATATCTTTCCAGGTCGCACCGAATCCGTCTCCAGATTGATTAATTTTATCGGGATGAAATCGTACTAGTGTTCCACCGATCATTATTTCTTGAAGTGTAACGTCACGATCGTATTGCCAGATCCAAATTTCACCAGTTCTCCAGTTGTCTCAGCCACTTGCACCTCTGTAATGTCAATGACGTCTTTGCGCACGAGATTGAATGTGATAAGGTTCGAAATACTGAACACCAGCACCTCTTCGAATCAAGTTGACCTCTCTCAGTAAATCTGCGACTTGATTCCCCACCACGCTACCTCCTTCCACGTCGGAGTACACGAACAAGGAACGCGAACTGCTTCCCACCACGACTTCGAAAGCTTTGTTCAGGTTCAGAAAACGCCAATTGCAGTAGATGCTGAGTTTTAAATAATCTTTTCCCGCCCTATCTGTGGATACAATCCAATAGACAGGTAATCCATCCGCGTCATGTAAGTCAGCCACGACACCAATGTTTGGAATTTCTTGGTCAAAAAATTCGATCTGCAAGTTAGGTCCCAGTTCGTAACCACTGCCATTCTTTTTGACCCATCCCATTTTCTCAGCCAGTTCAGACTTGAACTGTAATGCAGGGTAGTCTTTGAGCGGACTTATGGTTCTTTTGTTGTCCAAGACCAGGTCGTCGCCTTCCCACTTCAACCAGACGTAAGTTCTTTCACCATCACTCGTGACATATTTTGCTCCTAATCTGGGTCCATTATTCGCGTAGATGCGTTGTCGCTCGAAATAGGCGAGCATGGATTTCATGAATCCAATACCGTCCACGTTGTGGAACACCTCTTTGAGATCATCCGTATCAAAGTAAGCTTCTCCATGCATATATGCACTACTCGAATCTATGCGTCTCCATGCGAAATAGGCCAAGATGACTTTATCCTCAGAAGCGGTGAAGGAAGGAAGAGTCACATGGGCATCCGGCATAGCGATGCTACTCATTCCCACTTTCCATCCTTGTCCCTCCAGGCGTATGGGGTTGGGTAACCTGATCTTGAAATGGTTCGGCGTGTTCTCGGGAAACTCGTTCTTACTACTGTGACTGGGTAAGCTGACGTAAAAATCACTCATCTTTTCTTTTGAAATGCAACGTGATCGTGGTCACACTCGAAGCAAAGTTCACCAGTTGTCCGTCGTTCTCAGACACTTGCGTCTCAACAATGTCCAAGACGGTCGTGCGCACTGGTAGATATAGGATGTGTCTAGGCTGAAAGTCGACGACATCCGGATCGTAATGAACTTGTTTCAACAGATCCGTGACTTGATTACCAGTCACCATACTCTTCCCCACATTCGAATACACGAACAAAGAACGACGATTGTTACCAAACGCTTCTTCGTAACTACGATCCAGGTCCATGAAAACCCAATTGACGTAACAACTCAAATGTATAGCGTCTGGGTCGATCTTGTAACAAATGTCTTCTCCATTATATCTAGGCATCACCAAGTCAAAGGCAGTGGGTATGACTTCCGCGGGAAAATCTTTTCTCAAATTGGGTCCCAAGACGTAACCCGGCTGTCCATTATCCAACGTTCCCATCTTGACCCATTTCATCTTCTTGGCCAATTCCATCCCAATGGACATTTGTGGATATACGCGTTTATTATTGATTTCGAAGGAGGTGCACGTTCTCGAGTTGTCGATGACACATTCTCCATTCTCGGCCCGATTCATGATCGTGTACAGCATTTCGGTGGGATCGTCGGGGTTGGTCTTTTTCTTGAACATCTGCGCGTCGGGCGCCTCTTGATCCCTCAACTTCCGCATGTATCAATCTCGTATCATGTTCATGAGATCTGTACCAGTCCTAGGCGTGAATTCCAAATCGCTTTCTCTGATCACCTCCGTGTCTTGAAAGTATATGTTGTTTTTTGTGTCTACCGTCTCGATCCACCAGATTTGAAACAGAAGAGGATCTTTCAAGTCCAGTTTACGAACAGCGGACGGAAAAGAGATGTCGCTGATACCCACTTTCCATCCCGATTCTCTCAACTGTAACGGGTACGGCAAACGATTCTTGAAACTGTTGGACTTGTTGTCGGGGAACTCATTCGTACTGGCATTGCTTATCAACTGCACGTAAAAGCCCCCAGGACACTCATTCATCCTTAAAGTGTAATGTCACAGAGGTCACTCCAGAGGAAAAGTCCACCAGTTTCCCGTCGTTCTCTGCCAATTGCATTTCCACTATATCTAAAACATTGCTGCGTACAGGTTTATATAGAATCTGAGAATGTTCGTACGTCATCTTGGTAGGGTCGTGGGGTACTTCTCTCAATAGGTCCGTCACTCGATTCCCCGTGATCGTGCTGCGTCCTACATTCGAATACAAGTACATGGGACTACGAGGAGGAGGGACGTCCGGAGCGACGCTACTACCCTGGTAGACCTTGGCGTATTCCTCGTCCAGGTAACTGAATCACCAGTTGCAATAGGAACTGAGTTGTAACACCCCCTCGCTCGACAAATCCCAAAACTCACTGGTGCGAGTGGCGTCAAAGTTGGTCCAGTCTTTCTTGAAATCAGCTGGGACGGTGTCGTTTTGAAACATTTTCACCATATTCATAGTCATGTGAACAGAGTAATACGACTCCTCGTTAATCCAGCCCATCGTCTTGACCAGTTTAGGACCAAAAAACATTTTGGGACGTCGTCTGTCTCCGGACTCGTCGAGGAACGTGTCGGTGTTATCCAGAATCAAATCATTCCCATCCCATTTGAACACGGGGTAGTATTTTTTCCCGTCCGGAGCTCGTAGACTTTCACCTGGGCGATCCATATGATGATACAAGCGTTCGTGAAAACGATTGATGAGGTATTGCATGAGAGATTTACCACTCGTCACTTTGTATCTGTCTTGGTGAAGTTCCTTCCCGGTGACGTGAAATGGCACACTGTAACGCGACGGAATCCACGAACCATCGGATGTCCTGATAAACGTTTCAATGGTCCACTCAAAATGACACAACATATCTTCATCGTCAAAGTTGTGCGTTCGATGCGTGAGTACTTGATGCGGTCGTGCCGGTGGTATCGGGTAAGAAATGCCTACCAATCCCACTTTCCATTCCTTGTCGCCAGACATGAGTGGGTAAGGCAGACGATTCTTGAAACTGTTGGCCTTGTTGTCGGGGAACTCATTCGTACTGGCATTGCTCATCAACTGCACGTAAAACTCTTTCATTTTCTGTCTTTTTTCACGAGCACGTCTTTTTTATCCAACCAACTGTCGTACTTGACTGGCCAACCTTTCCAACGTACCAAGACTTTATCCCCTTTTCGTTTGACTATCTTTTCGACACGGAACAGATCGTCGTCTTCCACGGTCACTTTCTGCAAATCTTGCGCGTAAAACGTTCCATCGACCGACGTGCCATCCCATTCTTCCACCTTATACGTGGGAATCTTGCCAGAACGCACACTACGTATCACAAACACCTCTTCGGTCCAACCGGGTAAATACCCTTTCTTGAACTGCCTGAACTTCTTTTTCAGTCTCACACGATCCCCGACTTTGAGTTGAGGTTTCTTGAATTTTCCCCTTTTTTTACCGTAAAGAGTCTCCCACACGTCCTCGTTTTTGGCCAAAGTCACTTGATCGGGAGCCATCTTGATACTACGATGATACGATCGATTGTACTCCTTGACCAGATCTTGTAACACGGGAACAAAGTTCAGCGTATTCTGTACTGTGAAGTACCGGTACAAACGTTCTTTCGAGGTCCGATTGAACCGTTCCACCACACTGGCTTTCGTATCCCCACGGGTCGAAAAATGATGAATGCCCTTCTGTTTCATCAAATCCTGAAACGTCTTGTTGTAGAATTCCTTCCCGTCGTCCGTCTGAAAATTGATAGGTTTTCTACCTCCTTCCAAGATCTTAGCCATGGCTTCCGTCACCGCTTTGCCCGTCTTGCTTTTCAAGGGTTGGACCCAGGCGTGCTTGGAAAAAACGTCCACCCCAGTCAAGAGATAACGATACCCTCGATTGTACTTGGCGATACTGATCACCTCGATCAAGTCGGCCGTCCACTGCTCGTCGATTCCGAACACCACGACGGGTACCGTTGGAAATCGACGACGTCTGGGTTTGTGCAACGTGTACCCCAAATCCCGTTGCAAGATCTCGCGAGCACGTCGTACCGAGATCTTATTGGCCTTTGCGAATCGCGTAAGACCACCCAGACTACCGGGTCTCAAGGGATCCCGATACCGTCCCAGTAACGTCCCGGTCGAAAGCTTCTTCTTTGACTTCTTCATAATCGCCAAAGTGTGTAAACGCACTGTCTCCACAACTCAAAACGTTGCTCACGTACATCGAGATACTTCTTAAATGAATCGGGTTGCTGTTTCAACCACAAGATATAAGCGACAAAACGCATCACGTTGGGTTCGACATCAGTATCTTCAAACACCTCCAAGGGCGAATCCCTGAAATAATCTGGGATAGGTTCACCGTCACCGTACCTCGCAAAGACTCTATCGCACTTGGAACACAAGGTGAACCAGCTCCATCTATAGGTCATGTTCGCACACACTCTCGAGATCAACCAACTCAATGCTTGAGACATGATAAATTGATTCAACCTAATTTTATTTCAACTTTCTTATAGGTACAAAACGTCATGCCTGATTGGTTTTTACGAAAAAATAAATCTGATTGGCTATTTTCAAAAAGAAGGTGAAAGACTACTGAGTATTACACGATTCGTCGTCATCGGATGCGTCATCCAGTTCCATGTTCTTACAATCTTTCAAATACTCCTCATCATATTCGTCCTCGAAGGAATCCAAGGAATAATATTTACAATTTCTCCATAAACAATCCCCTTTACCGGGTCTCCACTTCAAGGCTTCCTCTTTGTCCCCCTTCACATAAAATACCTGACGCATCTCTTCTTTACAAACACCACACAGTTCATCCTTATCAGTGTTAATGGCACGAAAGAAAAACCGATCCTTCCATATATTACGTTGACGCATGATCTCACTGATCAACTCTTCCAACTTCAGACAGATTTCTTTGTAATCACCCTTGTTGAAAGTCAGTAAAGACTTCACCTTGGGACTCTCGTCTGCCTCCAACACCCGTCGTGCCGTGTCCCGGCCGAACCGCAAGGGTTCAAACAGATCACGGATGGTTTCACGCATCATGTACGTGATGTTATTTGTGGCAATCAAACAGGTACGATCAGCATCCAGGACAGGATCACGACTATGAATAAATCTGAAATCATTAATGCCTTTTCTATACAGTACACAACACCACTCACCACAGAACAGATACAACCCTTCATTCCTCCTCATCAACTCCAAAATCGTACCACTCCAGTCAGGACGACGTCTCATCAAGAGATCAAAAGGCCACGTACCTTCGGGTAATTTCCCTAACGGTGAAAAGAGATTGTCAAAAATGTACACGTTCACGTTCGACAGGGTCTCGAGAGCTCTCAAAGGTTCTACCTTCTCCTCCGCAATCTGCATCACTAGCTCCTGAATCTGGTTAGAGTTGCTGTAGTAAGTCATTTTTTCGTCCACTCTCCGACGACCTCGTTAAACTTCTTTCCTTCTCGATCCGCTCGCTTCGTGATCTCCAAATCCGACAAATGAGGATGGTCCTCTCGGTCGCACCAGTCAATCAAGTGCCTCTGAAGCCTATAGTACAAGGGGGAGACAAGATGAAATTCCAAGTCAAATATCTTCCGAGATAACGTTCTTTCGCCTTCTTCGATTTTCTCCAAAAACTTAGAAGCTCGATTCAACTCTTGTCTCACATCTTGCACAATCTCTTCCACGTCTCTCTCATTCAAGACTCTATACAGATGAGTCATCACCGCACCACGAGCAAGTCAAGAATGATTCTAAACCCGAGAGGCGTGCTCCTTTTATAGCTGTGCCGTACCTCCACTTTCACTCAGTACACGTACTTTCACTGATCACGCGTTATTTTTTCACAACCAATCAGAATGAAGAGTAGCACATGATCACATCACCTGACACGTCTCTGATTGGTAACTAGAAAAAACGTCTATAAAATCGACCCACGCATTCCAGCACGAGTCATTTTTTAAAATCGCATGACACGTATCGCAGGCGTTATGGATTCACTCGTCGAACCCGAAGAATCCAAAGAGGTTCAAAAAATCAAGAAAAGAAATCATCCAAAAAGAAGGAGGCTCGCAAGAAACTGAAACTGGACATCCCCAAGAAAGAAGGTAAACTACAAACCACATTAGATAGATGGCTATTCAAAAACCCTCGTTCTAGAATACGTTTCAAAGAACACGTACTACTCAAAGAGATCACAACGGACTCTGTCATTTGGACCGCTGTACCTCTCAAAGGCTTCTCTGAGCCCTGGAGCGTCTTTTCAATGAAACGTCAAGAAGTCAAAAGCGAAATGAAAAGTAACCATCAACGGCGAAGACAAAGACTGACCCCCAAAAACGTGCGAAAAACCACACACATCCTGGAAACAATGCTACGAGAAAACACTCTATTGGGATACTAACACATTTTTTTCCTAAAAATCATAGACTCATATCCACCCTCCATTCAAGGCGGAGTCATGTCACTTATAGGACTCGACAAATTCAAGGTAGACAACGTCATAGAAGTGCCGCCCGAAGTGGACGACAAAGGACAATTCACCGAAGTGCAAGTGTTGGAGGAATTCGACCCCGATCAGTTCCTGGACCAACTGAAAAAACAAGATCACACTTGCCCACGTTGTTGGATACTCATGAAATTCGGGAGTGTGCAAACCCCAGACGGTAGTACCTGGGAGTATTACCGATGCCCCTCTGCCAGATTCTACACCAAGTGTTATGTGACATGTGGTACCAGTGAAGTGAGCGCCTACTTGCAACGCGTCGCCGAACAGACCCACCCCTGCTACAAAAGCATCGACCCAGCCCGTTTCCGATGTCTATGCAACAGGTCCCTGGTCTTACCCACCTCCCACTCAGCCTACAACCCAGACAGACTCTATCTCAAGTGTCCCAAGCGCACCTGCAAGTTCTTTCAATGGATCAACGAACCCCCCAGAGGGATCGCCGAAGCCCGACTGATCCATGGACAAAGTTCAGAAGACATAGTTAATGACAGAACCCAAACTAAAAAACACAGACACAGTTTTTGTTAAAAAACACATTCTGATTTTTAATTCACATTTTTTTCTACACGTTTGGCAGTTTGTCTTCTGCATCGATCATCGATCGAATTGTATTTTGATCACATTTGTTGAAAACTTCGTAATAAAAGTTTATGACGTTCATGTATCGCCTCGCCGTTTTCTTGTCTGCGAGTCCAATGGGTCTGGAACGGCTCGAAGTTGTAGCACAACATAAGCCGGTGAAAAGTCACCCTGTCGACAGGAGGCTTCACTTTCAGGTTCCAAATAATGTTCTTACGAACTGACAGTATGGCATTGTGCAAAGTTCTACCAAAAACCCACTCCGCGCGTCTGTAGCTGCTCCTGCTTCTGGTCCAATTTTCTCGCTGCTCATCCATAAAGAAGATGACCTGGTAGATCATCACCTCCAATTGACTTGATTCCTTGAAACGTATGAACCAACGGCGGCCCGCCAACACATCTCGTATGGGGAACCCATTTTCCCCGTAAAACGACACCCAGTCGTCCTCCATCGTATCAATAGCTTCTTCATACGTAGTGTCAGGCTTTCTGGTAACATCGTTCTGCAGATAAATCTCCCTCAAGGCCGTAGTGACACTCATACAAGTTAAAAAACTCAGAGTGGCGAGCGGACGACGCCGATTCGCTTTATGCAGATCCAATCCACCAATCACATATCAAAGCCGAAGTCATGTGTGCAAAGTATGCCCTGGGGATAGGGGGTATCCCCCTTCCATGCCCACGGTCGGAGACTGGACCCCGGTCGAGTGCAACCTGGGATCCAGTTTCCCCGTACGTATAAAAGAAGCGAACCGAGCCGTTCACATTCACCATATTTTCGCCTTCTTTGCTGAAAAGACCGCTAGTGAAACCAAGACTGTCAAGTGAGTATAGAGTCGCTTTTGATGTTTTTTTCTCTCGACCTAGACCGAAAAAAAATTTTTCATTCTTTTTAGAATGGAAAACTGTTACGTCTGCAAGTAATCGCGCCCATGCTGTCGCACACCTCTCCTAGAATTGAGTGAAAACGGGACCCTCGACAAATCAAGGGGCCGCTCAAAGAAGTCTGGGGACTAGGAAGCGTCTGGGTAACCTGTTGCGGGGCCATCTATGGCATGTACTACAATGATGAGACCACCCGTTACGATCCCATCTTTCTGGGAAACCATTACGAAGAAGCCATGTCACGTGCCAATCATGTCAAATCGGTCCTATGAAAAAAAGGGCGCAGGTCAATAGGATCGTGCACACGTCCCATCCTGTAATAACTACTTTAAAAAATAAAAAAACTTTTGTTTGTTATGTTTCAGACTCATGTCATTTCCTAACCCAAGATGTCTATGGTGTAGTGAAGGATACACTCACAAATACGGTATCGACAACTGCTTCCTTACCACGTGTTGCAACCATTTCTATCACGGAAGTTGTAGAGCCCTCAACAATTGGTGGCTACACCCCTGCCAAAGATTTTGCCCCCATTGTAAAACCGTGAATTTCGGTGAACCGTTCGTCAGTCCCTGAACCCGACGATGACAGCCTCAAAAGCAAGTTATAAAGAGGTAAGCGCTTCGGTGGTCTAATGGTTAAGACGTTGAGTTGTGGCCTCAGAAAACCAGATTCGATTCCTGACCGGGGCAGTAATTTTTTCCCACTCTTTTTTTCCAGAAACCCCTGGCCTGTAAAATCTATTTGGAAGAACCCCACCCAGACGAAGATGTCATGCTCATCTTCCTCACCAAACATTTTCCCTACCCATGGTAACTGAGAAGAGACCTCTCCGATGTCTGGCCCTTCGGACGCGTTTTCGAATCCTCTTCAGGCTTTCACGGAGAATTTCTCACCCCAAAGACAATGAAGTTATCCCTCGTTCACCTGGGAACTAATGACGTTCAAGCACTCAAGATGATGCAAAAAATCACACAACAAACCATGTACATTCTATCGTTAAATGAACTTTATTAATTTTTACAGGCATTAAAAATCTTGTGTTTTTCACTCAGATGGTGACGTCATCACTTTTACAAATGCTTGGTAAGCCAACTCTTCTCTGTTATCACCACCGCTCCTCCACTCTTTCCACCCGGCCTCAAAACTATCCCTCATCCTTGACAAACACACTGGTTCC